CCAGTATATAGAGAAATGGCAAAACCCATCTCTTCCACCAAGAACTGAATTGTTAACTGAACTGATTTTAATGATACTTTTTTGGGGGGGATTGCCTGTTTGCTGAAAAAAATGTGGAAACTGTGAAGCGCTGGACATTCCTATAACTTGGGAAGTTAGTTGCATTAGACCTGTTTGTTTAGATCTTGTGCTGGTCAGGATTAAAATGAAAGGAGATGGAGATCAGCAGGAAAATGTTTGGATCCCCTCTCCCCCAAGATATTTAAAGGATAACCATAGATAGTCTTCCTCGTTTCTATGGATATTTTAGATTTTCTGCAGATTAACTGCTTTGGATGAGTCTGTACTTAGGCTGTTTAAGGTTCATTATCTTCACAAGCAACATTTGTGAATGTTGATTACTGCTCATTTTGATTACCAGAAGCTTTTCTTGCCCAATTCAGTCATTGTACCTTGACAAGGGGAAGCCAACATCAAGTGACTTTTCATTTATCAGTTTTGCAAGTTGGTTTCTTAGAAATTGGAGCCAATAGTGAGAGATGACATTTGTGACTGAAACGGGAATTCTAATGCTTATTGTCATGGAGAATTTGACTGTCTGAGGGCCACTTTTTAATATTTCTTTTCAATAGCAGCCTTTCAACTTTATTTTTCTTGAGGCTCAATATGCCTTTTAACTCCATCTAAATGTCACTTTATAGAACTGAAGTACAACACATGCCTCTAGGGATTCACACACTTCTCGACATATATAAGTATTCTTATTCCTGCTTTGCACACTTGAGCAAATTATGTTGGATGTGGACTTCAAATGCATTTGTTCCCCCAACACACTTGTGTGTGTGTTTGTTTGAATAAGTTTTACATGATTTTATTCCTACTGACTCCCTTCTCCCTTTTTATAAGGTAATAAAGTTAGATGAATGCTTGTTATTGTTTTGTTGAACAACTATATAAAAATAAAATCACATGCTTTCCAGTTTTTTAAAATTTCTGATCAGTCCTAAGAGTCTTTAATTAAGGTATTTTAGAACAGAGGGATTCACATAACTCTCTGTGTTAAAAGGAAATTTGAATTATCTTCAAAAAACAAGATAGATCTATTGATTAGCTGCAAGAACAGAATTAAAAAAGAGAGCAAAATTCTATCTTATTGCATTATTTCTTACTTCTTAATTATGGGGAGGCTTTTGAAATAAAATTATAAGTACATTGGCAGGAAAAATGAAGCTAGAATTGCGAATTGGTTGCTATTTCCATAATGACTCTGTCATCTTTCAATCTCCTTCAGAGAGAACCTCATAAAATATACAGAAAATGTAAGTTGTTCAGGCTATAAATAAGGTTTTTCCCCTTTACCTTCAAATTTTTAAAACAAAATATTTTATTTCCTATACAAATCTTACAACCCCAGATTACATTCTTGGTAAATAAAACGTTGCCTCTCAACTTGTAGTTTACAAAGAATTCCAAGAGATCATCAGCATGATGAAGCAAGCGAATGATGGCATTGTTGACCAAAGCTATGGAATTCAACGTATGGCTTTGCAACAAAAGCATGGGGCTTTCAAGCTTTCTGTGCTTGAAGGGTAAGGGAACACATGCGGGAGAAATAAAGAGTTGAGGGAAGCACCCCTTATACCTTGCTACCCATTGAACTAGACTAATTGTCTACATGGTTTTAAAAATGAGTCTGTAAGCAGAACAGGGTCATTGCTAAAATAGCAACACATTCTAGCATTATTAGTCCTGTTGATGTACTTGCAATTTCATTTCAAAAGCTTCCCCATAATTATCAAATGAGACATAACATTTCCTTCATATAGAAAAATAATATTTTATTCCTCATTTTTAATTTTCTATGTTGATTCGTTCTACTTTATAGTGCTACTAGTTACTATTTTTGGGGGGCACGTGCCTTCAAGTCAGTATTGGCTCCTGGTAACTGCCTGGATAAATCCCTGCAGTTTTTCTTGGCAAGATTTTGGAAGTGGTTTGCACTGCTTTCTTCCTATCACTATAAAATATAAAAATCAAGAACAGTGTTGTTTAAGATTGAGTTTGTGTGGAAGCACAAGAGTTTTCATATAGTTTGAACAGGCGTAATTCTTAAAGAAAATATAGGAATATAATAATTGAAAATTGATAGCATTATTTATATCTGTGAATGAAAATTCTCAACTAGAGGTTTTTGAGGAATTGAAGATCTGGTCACTCCAAAACATAATGATGCCAAAATGATGAAATATGTGTCTGGACATCATAATGCAATCTCTGTCCTTTCATATTTGCCCTTGTCTCCTTCCTCATCCCCCGACCCCCATAAATACCAATGGAAGTGGTACAAATTTGCATGTGGGAAATAGCCTGAAGTATTACTTGGTTGGTGGTAAACTTGTTTATGAAAAGGAAATACCATTATATTAGGATCTAATAGACTTTAATCTAAATTGAACAATTCTATGAAATGAATCCTAGGGTTTAAGCCTATAACTGAATTTATTTTCTAAAGATTTATTTTGCAAATATGCTACATATTCTCAAGTCAGACTGCCTGATAAAAATCTACTAAGTTGAATCCACTGATTTATTTATCCTTAATTATTTTACTTCTTTCTTAACCACCTGCCAAGACGGCAGTCACATAGAAATGCAAACTGATTTTGGAAGTCTTAATGTCACTGTACTTTGGCCACAACTCTTGGTAGATGCATCCTTTTCTTTCATAAAGCAAACTAACCAGAAGAAAAGTGCAACCAAAATCAAATACTGTCTCTTGCAGATGAATTATCTTAGTGCTGGTTAATATTAATAATAATGAAATACCCATCTTAAAGCTCTTCAGATGTAATTATTTAGACATCTGTTTCTAACGTATTGGGACATAAAGGGGATTTGAAATAAGATTTTTTGAAAGATCACCTTTGAGTTGAGTACAACTCCTCATGGACGCATCCATGCAGTTTTCTTGGCAACAGTAAGAAGTGGTTTGCGATTTCCTTAGCCCAAGAAGTTTTTCAGCATAGCATAATATG